ACACAAGAGCCAGCACCAGTGATCAATGAACACGGAGCTGCTTGACGTGGCCAGTCATCAGGATACGCAGATCAGATAAGGTAAGACATCACTGACATGCATCACATTGAATCAATATTTGCAGTCTGACAGCACCCAGGGCTGATGACCTGTGGGGAAATGAGTGGTTGAATTGGGACAGCCACCTGGAGAGTAATTAAGCCGAGCCTGGGATCGTTAATGTGATGCATACCAGAGGGAAGCATTCCACGTGGGCAGGGCCCACACAGACACGAATGCCTGACGCAGTGCTGTTTACACCATCAAGCACGGGGCCCTGTCTACCAGGAGGACGGCTGAAGGGACCCTGGGACAGTCTTTTATATATATATATATATATATATATATATATATATATATATATATATATATATATTATTTTTTTACAGAGAGGAAGAGAGAGGGATAGAGAGTTATTGATAGAAGCATCGATGAGAGAGAATCATCGATCAGCTGCCTCTTGCACACCCTCTACTGGGGATGTGCCTGCAACCAAGGTACATGCCCTTGACCGGAATCGAACCTGGGACCTTTCAGTCCACAGGCCAACGCTCTATCCACTGAGCCTTACCGGTTTCGGCCCTGGGACAGTCTTCATGGAATATATCGGGTCTAGTAATAATTAATGTCGTTTTTAAACATTCGTTTAAAATCTTGCTTGGCGTTGACTTGTATTGACATAACCTTCAAACACGTGGTATCTACAGAACGTGTGAAGTGCAATTAACAAGTTTTGCTTGAAAAAGTTTGTGTTTGGTTTGGTTTTTGTTGCAAAACTAGGGCTAAGAAGATGGCGGATAAAGAGCATATTCGGCACTGCATGCTTTACGAGTTCCAATTAGGAAGAAAAGCAAGTGAGGCTGCAAAAAACATCTGTAGTGCTCTTGGTCAAGATGTAGTTAGCGCCAGAAAATGCCAGCGTTGGTTTGAGAAATTTCGCGAGGGAAATTTTTCGTTAGATGACAAGAGTGGTCGAGGCCGTGTGTCCAATTTTGATCAAGAAGCTCTTCAAGCTCTTTTGGTGCAAAATCCTCAAATTACCCAACAAGAGCTTGCGACAACTTTAAATTGTTCACAAAAAACAATTTCCAATCAATTGTGTGCACTTGGCAAAGTCCAAAAGTTTGGAAAATGGGTTCCTCATGAGTTGACCAACAACAACCGTAATCAAAGAGTCACAATTTACAGTTCGCTCCTCTCTCGTCAAAACTGTTTGCTGTTTTTAGAGCAAATTGTTACCGGAGATGAAGAATGGGTGCTGTATGTTAATTTGAAAAGGCGGCCTCAATGGCTGGACAAAAATGAGGCTCCGCAGCCCACGCCAAAACCTGACTTGCATGCGAAAAAGTGATGTTGTGTGTTTGGTGGAATTTTAAAGGAATTCTTCATTATGAACTTTTACCATCTAACCAAACCATTACAAGTGCAGTGTATAGTGCCCAATTGGAAAGGTTAGCCCAAGCTTTAAGAGAAAAAGAACCCGCGCTGATTAATCGGAAGGGCGTAATTCTTCACCACGATAACGCACGACCGCATACTGCAAGAATCACTGCTGAAAAACTGCGCCAGTTGGAATGGGAAGTTCTCCCTCAACCTGCATATTCTCCTGATATTGACCCTTCCGATTACCATTTGTTTCGTTCTTTGCAAAACTTTCGTCTTGAAAAAAAATTTAATAATGAAGAATGCCTCAAAAATGTATTGACCGAATTTTTTGCATCAAAATCACAAGAATTTTACAACAGAGGGATTAAAATGCTTCCTGAGCGTTGGGCATAAGTAGTAGAAAACAACGGCAACTATATTGTTGATTAAATTTTGTTGTATTGTTTAAATAAATTCGATTTAAAAAAGTATTAGAAAACGACATTAATTATTATTAGACCTAATATACCGAGAGAGGCTGAGAGCCTCCAAGATGGTCCGGAGACCAAGTCCCAGTTCCTGGTGTGCCCTGACTGATGATGACAGATGAGTTACACGTCTCTGTCCCTCTGAGGAGAGACTATCTCCCCGGGTCTGAGTGCAATCCCCGAAGCTCAGAGGGACTTCCCCGACCGCCCTAGTGACACAGCCAGCATGTCAGAGCGGCTTAAAGGGTAAGCGTGGAGACTGGTTCAAACCCCAGCTGTACTGAGCACGGTCTGTGTGATCGCAGGCAAGTTGGCGAGGCTCTCTGTGCCTCAGTTCCCCCCTCTGTAAATGGAGATAATAGTAGTTTCGCCTCGGAGGGCTGTTGTGAGGGCTGAATGAGGAGATACTCCAAAGCCTTAGCACTGCCTGAGATCAGGAAGTGCTGGTGGTGGGAAACGCAGTGGCGGGAAGCAGGGTGAGGTGGGCTGGAGGGACGGGGCTCAGCGTGGAAACAGGCTGCCGAGCGAGCACCCTGCATCTCACCCTCCCTGAACTGCCCCTTCATCACCGCAGCTCGCAACCCAGCCCCCCCAATCCTCACCCCCACCCCCATACCGCCAGCCAGCTGCCCCTCTCCCGGCCTCGGTTCCCCCTGCTGTCCAGGCCCGTCACACCCTGGCCATGTGCGTTTGGGACAGTATTTATGGAGTTGATTGAATTGAACTCAGATGTAGAGATCACGGGTTCTCTCAGATGGTTATTTCAAGGTGAAACACGCCATGAGGAGGTGGGCGCAGTGGACCAGGTGAGCGACACAGACACGGACAGGGAGGAACTCCGAGGCAGGAACCTGTGAGCCCAGGACAGGGAGAGGGGCTCCCCCGCCCCCCTCTGCAGGCCTGTCCCGGGCCCGTTGGGCGAGGGCAGCATTAACTGCCTCGTTCCCCGGAGTCTGTGTGTGAAAAAGACCTAGAGCAGCGGTTCCCGATGGTTCTCTGGCCAGGCCCACCGAAGCTTCTGTAAAATCCTACGCCCCCGCTCTACCCCGTGACACACAATCCTCATCACTCAGAGAGTGAGCTCCTGTCACGTGGGGGAGGCCTCAAAGGCCATCAGCTCGGTCTAAACAAGCTCCCGGGGAACATGGCATCCATGGGAGAGAAAAATAAAAGAACGAAAGGACAGGTGAAGTACCGAGGAAGAAATTGTCAAAAAAAATAACATGGAGTGATAGGAAAATATAACAAAGTTTTAAAATATATAATAGAGAACGGAAGCATAAATATGTCACTATATATTTATATACTGTATATGAGGCCCTAGAACCGTAAGAAATGTAAAATATTCACTGTTAACTCATTCTCGAATTGCCCCCCTAAAAACCAAATTGCCCCCCTGTGAGGCGTGATAGGGTTAGGGTTAGGGTTAGGGTTCCCCCGTTGGTAACCACTGATCTAGAAGGATCCCGGCAGAGCCCTCAGTACTGGCTACAGAGGGAGAGGGGACTGTGGTGAGTGGGGTGGGGGAGGATCTTTTACTCTATAAACTTTTACTCTATACACTTTTAGTCTGTATACTTGGGCATTGCTTGGATTCTGTGCAGTGAGAGAAGATTTATTTATTACATGTGAATATTTAAAAAAAAATTAACTTTGCCCCTAAGAGGTACTCAGTGCAGGGCGCCACTATGATCCTTTAAAACAAAGACGAAGACCCCAGCCCAGCACACAGGTTGGGGCCGGCCCCTCAGCCAGGCTCACCAACTCCACCCTCAGAGGCATCCTGGACCAGCCACCCAGGCTTCTCTCCCCTCCCCTCCCTCCGCCTGCCATGCTTCCTTGTCTCCACCTGGGTGTTGGGTGCTGTAGAATCCCCACTGTACAGATGCAGAAACTGAGGCACAGATTAGGCAGTAATTTCCCGGGGTCCACACTGTGAAATGGCAGGGCTGGGCCCAACCCACGGACGGGTAAGCCCTTAGCCGCCCCCGCATTGCCCTCATGGCCTCTATGCCTCACCTCTCGCCTCTCAGGGAGGGATCAGAGCTTGTCCTTTGTCTCAGGCCCCCGGAGATCAGTCCCTGTCAGCCTCCCAGCCTCCCCTACCCCTCCTCTCCCTTCTCTCCCCTGCTCCAGTCCCACCAGCTCCCTGGCTGCTCCTCTCCTGAAACATTCTTTCCTGCCTGACCTTCCAATGGCTTCTTCTCTCCGTCTCTGCTTGAATGCCGCCTCCTCCAGGAGGGCTTCCCTGATCACTCTTTCTGAGACAGTCCCCACTTTACTCTCCGACCTCTTCCTGCTGTCGTTTTATTCACGGACCTTGCACTCCCTGCGGTGGCCTCAGGCTGCTGTGTGGTTGTCTATCATGTGTCTCCTTCCCTAGCTTTCTGTTCCATGAGGACAGGGACTCTGTCCCTTGTGCCTGGAGCAGGGCTGGGCACAGAGCAGGAGCTCAGTACACGAATAACTGCGCCCAGGGTGCCCGTGTGGATGGACCCTGGGCCTCCAGGGCCCGGTCGAGACCTGCTGTCTGGGCTGCTGGGAACGTGTGTCACCACCTCCCCCCCCCCCCCCCCCCCCACACACACACACATACTCCACATGATGGGGCTTCTGCCCGGGGATCAGCGATGTGGCCCACCTCTCTGGGCCCTGGACTGGCCGGCGGAAGGTGAAAGGAGAGCGGCCACAGTCCTTCCCAGCTCCTGCCATCCGGCCCTGCACCCCCGCAGCCCCAAGGCCCGGCTCCGGCACCGGAAGCCCCGGCACCGGAAGCAGGCCCAGCCCGCCCACCCTCCCAGCGGTCCAGACACCGGCCGCTCACATGTGCCAGGCGGGGACCCTTCACCCACCTCTGACTGCGCCCCGCCCCGCTGTAAGTCCCCAGACCAGGATGTTTGGGGGACCCCTGCTTCTAACTGAGGGGGACGGGCATCGCAGGTGAGGCAGGAGCGAGAGGAATGGTCAGAGACTAAGACTGGTACCGGCCAGCTCCAGCCTCAAACACCTCCGCCGCTGCCATCCCACCTCCTCCCCCCGTCTCCCGGGCGGAAGCTTTGCTGCCCTGAGCGACCCTGAGCTCCACCGTGGGGGCCCCCCGAGGCTCACCCATCTCGATGCCGCAGATGACCAGGGCGGCGATCACGGCGCCCGCCGACGTGCCGGCGAAGCGGTGGGCGGTGTCCAGCATCCGGGGGGCCAGGTCCCGCAGGGCGTCCACCGCCCCCGCCTGGTAGTAGGAGAGGAAGCCGCTGCCCGAGAAGGAGATGGAGTGGGGGGTGTCCGGGTCCCCCTTGAACACCTGCTCCTCCATCTCCTCAGCCGGGGCGGGGCGGGCAGGAGGCCCCCCTCAGCGGCCGGGCGCCCGGCCGGGCGGCTCTCCTGCGCGGGCACGTGGGGCGCGCCCGGGCCCGCCGGGCTGTGCCAGGACCGGGTGAAGGAGGCCAGGTGCCAGCAGGTGCCCGGGCCCCCGGGTTTCATGGCGCAGCTCGCTGCATCTCCTCCATCTCCGGCGAGTCCTCGCCTCTGCCCGGCCGGCTGCACCTGGGAGCTTCCAGCTGCCGGGAGGCCGGGCCAGGGGCGGGCACTGCGCAGCCCTCCGCCCGGGAGGCTGGGCACACTGAGTTGCAAAACTTCCGTGATGGTATCAGAGGCCTCTCCCCCGGCTGAGGCTGCGAGGAATTCAATGCCGGCTCTCCCCTCCCACTGCAGGCTGGCAGGCTGGTCTGCTTTTGGAGGACACACTCCCACACCCCTGCCCCTACCGTGACGCCCTCCGGCTCCTTCTCCAGACCCCGTGGTGCATGGTGCGTGGCTCACTGTGTCCCTGCCCCTCTCACACAGCTCCCTGTGCTCTCTCACGTGTTGGCTCTCATGGCAGCCGGGCCGGGCAGAGCCCTGAAGGAAGGCACGTTGGGCTTGGGGCCCACCCAGCGCCCTGTCCACCCTCACCACCTTGCTCTCCGGCCCTTCCCTGACCTCTGACCCTGCACCACTCCCTCTCACCAAACCCAAACCTTTCATCCAGGAAAAAATCCCGTGAAACCTAGAACATGCCAAGCATTGGGGCGGGACCCCACTTTGGTGTGAGAAGTTGGAGAGGCCATGTAACCCCAAGGATGAACAGCCGGGGACAGGCATGGCATCGGGACTAGGCAGGGATGGTTGGAAGCCCAGGCGTGGGGCCCGGGGCCAGGGGAGGGCGGGATGAGTGTGTGTGTGTGTGTGCCATTCACACCCCCGGAGCAGCGGCCCACACTCTGGAGAGGGGAGTCTTCCTCACGCCTGTCATTTTCACAGCATCCCCTACCCCGCACTCCCCCTTCCAACTCCCCATCACCCGCTGGTGCCCAACCCTCCAGAGGCGGGACCAGGATTAGAACTGAGACACCAGCTACCCTGCCCCAGCGGCCGGCCAGCTCTCGCTCCGCGGGGGTGACAGCCGTGCCTGGGGCCCCGGAGGTCCCAGCCTCTGAGCCTCACTGACCCATGGGTTCCCGCAGCCAGGGCGGCGCCCACGAGCAAGGGGCTCTCTCACTTGGGTTGGGAAGGGAGCTCAGGTATGGAATCGCCTCCTCCGGAAAGACTTTGGATTAAATGTGTGTGTGAGCAGAGCACGTGTGAGTGTGTGTGTGTGAGCAGAGTACGTGTGTGTGTGTGAGCAGAGCACGTGTGAGTGTGTGTGTGTGTGTGTGTGTGTGTGAGCAGAGCACGTGTGTGTGTGTGAGCAGAGCACGTGTGAGTGTGTGTGTGTGTGTGTGTGTGTGTGTGTACACGCAGAGATTTGAGGCTTGCAGAGGGGGGGAGCGGGGGAGAGTCAGCCTCGGAGCACCGCCAGCCTCCATCCTGGGAAACAGGTCAGCCCGCTGAGCATGGCACACCTGCTCCGCTGGGCAGAACAGGAGAGGTGGAAGTGGTGGAAGTGCCAGCCTGAACCCAGACACTTCCGGGCTCTTGGGAACAAAACCGGCAACTGTGGAGCAGCCAGGGAGCCAGGCAGCCAGGCGAGGCGCCGGCGGTTCACACCGGGCCGTGCGGCTGGGTTCCGGGGAAGCGGCTGCGGCTGCGGGCTGCTGGGAAGAGGGCGGTGCAGTGGCGGGAGCACCAGCTCCTCACGGAGGAGGGGCGGGCAGGCGGGCAGCCGCGGGAACATGGGATGAGACAGGCACAGGTGGAATCCCCGCTCTGCCATTCACAGCAGCGTGCCCTGTGTGGCTGCTCTAGGCCTCGGCTTTCTCATCCGTAAAAGGGACAGTAATGCCTAAGTGCACAGCAGTTACAGGGCACAGACTGGCTGTGAATGCCTGGCACGTGGGGTTTCTGTTGTCCATGTGGAGAAGGGTCCAGGCTTCTGGAAGGTGGGCCAGGAGCTGAGGAGGAACAGAAAGGGGCCCTTGTGGACCTGGGGGAGGAGCTGGGCGAGCTGGCAGAGGGAGAGCCTGAATGAGACCGGCTGGAGGAAGGGGCGCGGGGAGAGCGGGGGAGGGGACGGGACCGTGCTGCATCCTCCGGATGTGGCAGCCAGGCCAGGGCGAAGGCTGTGGAAGACAGGGATGTGAGGCCATTGCTGCCGAGACTGGCAGGACCAGGCTGGGCAGGATGAGCCAGGCTGCTGCCTCGGGACTGGGAGGAGCAGGCGGCCTTTTGCTGATGTGGGAACTGGGTGGAGGGTGAGTTACCTTGAAGACAAGTCTGAGAGGAGAGACATGAGCTGGCACACCAGCTGCCTCCAGCTCGGAGCTCCCGCCAAAGGAGGAGGGTAAGCAAAGGGGTCTCTACCGGGCTCCCCACAGGCCCAGACCAACCAGGTGCCAAGCACCCGCAGGAGCTGGAGCGAGCGAGTGCGCCCTCTACTGGAGGGTGAAGAAACCTCCCCCTCGCAGGCCTGGTCCGGGCGCTGGGTGAAATTACACTGCACTTTCCCAAGCTTCCCTCCCAGCGTCTGGTGCGAGAAACGGCTCAGGACTTCAAAGCAGGCTGCCTTCCACACCCGCAGCCGCTGGGGCTCCACAGGAGGCAGGGGGCCCTCTGGTCAGCTTTTGGGATGAACCAGTGTGTTATCCACCCCGACATGGCACAACCATGCCAGACACCCAGCCAGCAGAGCAGTGCTTCAGAACCCGCCGTTATGGGGAGCATTTCATCCTTTAAAATATGTATCTTCCTCACCAGGCTGGTGTGGCTCAGTGGTTGAGTGTCAACCTCAGAACCAAGAGGTCATGGTTCCGTTCCCGGTCAGGGCGCATGCCCAGGTTGCAGGCTTGATCCCCAGTGTGGGCCATGCAAGAGACGGCCAATCAATGATTCTCTTTCATCATTGATGTTTCTCTCTCTCTCTCCCTTTCTGAAATCAATTTAAAAAAAAAAATTTAGCCCTACCTGGTTAGGCTCAGTGGATAGAACATTGGCCTTCAGACTAAAGGGTCCCGGGTTCAAGGGCACATGCCCGGGTTGCGGGCTCGATCCCCAGCAGGGGATGTGCAGGAGGCAGCCAATGGTTCTCTCTCATCATGGATGTTTCTATTTCTCCCCCTTCCTCTCTGAAATCAATAAAAATATATTTAAACTTTTTTTATTATCTCTCTTCTTGTTATTGGTAGTTTGAACATTAAAATTTTTTCCTATGGGGTCAAGAGGCACCTGAGTATATGATTCCAAGTGGAAAATAGGGGACAGAAATCAGATATGGGCAGTTTTTCCATTTTCATTTGTGTGTGAGTTTTTTAATATAAACGCGGGGACATAAAGCATTAATGCAAGTCAAACTGTTTCCAGAACAAGTTGCAGCAGCTCCACTGTGTAACTGTATAAATAAACCTGTTAATTTTTCTGGACAATGCCAGCATTTGGACTTTTTAAAAATAAATTTCTTACTGATGGCAAAGGCATGGTGTTTATAGCATTTTTATCGCGCGGCAGATCCCCACTCACTGTACTTCCCAGCTGAGCTGTTTTACCGGAAGGCACGTGGCCTTAATGCTGTCTGTCTTCCCTGCATTACTGTGTGTTGCTACTAAAATAAAAAATAAAAAAATTAAAAAAAAAAGACATGGGAGGTGGGGGGAGGGCTCCAGAGAGGGAGACAGAGGCCCCTCCCCCATTGGGGCTGCAGAGAAGGGGAAGCACTGGAGGTGGCACGGGTCCTGTTGGGTAGACAGCCTTGGACACGTGTCACCTCACTATGCCTAGTGGGATGTGAGGGCGATCTGGCTGCGACATCTGTCACCCCATTGATCGCCAGGGTTGATTCGGCTGATCTGGCTGGCTAGGCGGGTGTCCCCCTCCTCCCTCACCGATCCACGTGCGTCCCTCCCGAGGCTGCGCGCTCGGTCGAAGAGGACGACTTTCCCCCAAGAGGAGAGGACCGGTCTTTGGTCAAGGGTATACGAGCAGCTGTGCTCCCCTGCTAGACCCTCCAAACAAGCTCTCACTACGCCTAGTGAAGTGGGAGGCAAGCCCACCCGCTCTGCACGGTGGCAGGGCTGGAGGGCGGGGCCCACCCCTTCCGAGGACAGCGCCTGGTCCTGACACGGCCCCTGGCGCCCCCTGTCCTCCGGCCGGGCTGTCAGAGGAGGCCAGGTCTTCACTGAGAGAACACCTCAGTTCCCTGGAGACGGGACAGTGGAGATCACGCAAACCTCAAAACTCACGACTGTGCCCGAGAAGGTCCCTTCAGGGCTGGTGTGTTCACCCAGTGCTGGCGTGGCAGCGGGCTCTGCCCACCTGCCCACCGGGCCGCCTGCCCCGGGCTCGGTGTGACAGCTGGAGAAGGTCTTCTCCTGCCCCTTGCTCCCTTTAGGCAGCCACCTCAGCTTACGGACTCCCAGTGGACAGCATCATGAGAGGATCCATCCCAACGTCTACGCATTTGATTTTTTTTTAATGAATCAAATTGTAGCCTTACACGTTTGATACACTTATTAATCCAGAAACATCGATGATGAGAGAGATTCATTGATTGATTGACAGAGCCTGCAGCCCGGGCTTGTGTCCTGACGGGAAATCCAATGTTGACTTCCTGGTTCATATGTTGACACTCAACCACTGAGCCACGCCAGTCGGGCTCTACATTTGATTTTGGTTTTTAATATATTTTTATTGATTTCAGAGAAGAAGGAAGAGGGAGAGAGAGACCTAGAAACATCAACGATGAGAGAGAATCATTAATCGGCTGCCTCCTGCACGCCCCACACGGGGGGATCAAGCCCACAACCTGGGCATGGGCCCTTGACTGGAATCGAACCTGGGACCCTTCAGTTTGCAGGCTGATGCTCTATCCACTGAGCAAACCAGCTAGGGCTGCATTTGATTTTTAAAGTCAGCTCATAACTTCTCAGGTGTTTATATATCAAGTTAACTTTGCTCATATGACTCGTCAGCCCGCGAGAGATGACATGCAAATAACTGAGCCTGCTTATCACACACAATCCCGGCAACACAGCCCGAAATGAATTTATAGAAGAATGTGGAGTTTCCACACGCATGAGGCAAGTCAGTCGCCCAGGACGCAGCCCTCTGGATCCCGGCTGATCTGGCTGGCTA